GGTTGGCCCACTCGACGTAATCACTGGGGCTTCCGCCCGCCGCCTGGACGCGCTACCAGCTTGAGAAAGGGTCGAGGGGGCAATTCTTCCGATCCTCTCCCCTCTTGCTCCTCCTGGCCTCCGGAGCCCTGCCGATGCCCCTTTTGCCGTCCGCTTGTTTTCCCGCCCCCCCCCCCCTTCAGGGCGCTGGCGCCCCCCATCCCGAGTGCTCGCGGCAGAGGGCGTGGCCGTGGGAGAGGTAGGGAAAAGGGCGCGCCCCTGGGCGAGCTGGGCGGTGGACTCGCCGCCCTACGTTGTGCGCCGAGCCGCTCGCGATCGTCGGTGGTGGTGCTATAATGAGACGCCACATCGAGGCGAGCACCGCCTAGGTTCCACAGTATTTCAGAGCACGTCTTTTTCTCTGTTCAGGAACTCCTGGGCATTTCGGTGTTTTCAGTGAGTGATCTATTATTATTATATATATGTATATATATATATATAACAGGATTCATCAGACGCACAGAAAGAGAGAGAGAGAGAGAGAGATAATGATATAAATAACAAACAAAGAAAATAACGATAGTCAGCAACAACACGATTAGGACACTCAGACAAGTTAGTGTAAGTCTCAAGGCCCTTCCAACTCAGAACACCATCCAACAGTCCCAGCGGATTGAGATCGGCAAGGCAGCGCGTTGTACCGCCGGAGACAAGATAACGTTGAATATCAGCACCGCTTAGTATATCCCCGTCGGCCCATGATTTCTCAGCACCACCATCCCAGCACCCCAGCTGGGGATAGGTCCCTCGAAGCACGAAGGGATCAGCCTATATACCCATATGGGAGGGTAAATCGGCCAGTGGGGCCCTGGCCACGCCAGTGGGAATATGGATCGGTTACGGATGTTCAGAAGCAGCGGGTGGGACGGTCCACGCGGTCATACCCATGTGAAGGCGGCAAGCCATCAAAGAGTGCGGGTTGGCAGCGGGCTCCTTTCAGGCAGGCCACGACAGTGAATAATAGTTCCACAGCGTCCTCGAACGCTCTCAGAGCGTTCTGGAGCGCCCTGGAAGGGCCATGGCGCCCGATACATCATCCAGAACCGCCGGATCTCAAAAATGCCAGATTCATCCCTTTCAGAGCTTCGGCGGCCCCTCAGGGCCCACCTCGGCGTGCATTTGGCTCATGCGCCAATTTTCCGCACAGCGCCCGCACTGGCGTTCACCGTTTCACGACCCGAGGAGGGGAAGAGGCGACGGTACGTAACGGGGATCAGCGTGAATAGTGGTCAGCCAACCCCCTTCTTGCTAACACGTGTTTGGGAGCCACGCGGGCCGATTTCCCCCTTTTCCGCCCTCCGCTGACATATGTTTGGGAGCTACTGGGCAGCTAGCCGGCCTTCGCGACAGGGACCTGGCCGCCCCGAGTTTGGGTTACCCGGGCTTGTGCGTTCCCGGATGATGATGATGATGATGATGATGATGATGATGATGATGATGATGATGATGATGATGATGATGATGATGATGATGATGATGATGATGATGATGATGATGATGATGATGATGATGATGATGATGATGATGATGATGATGATGATGATGATGATGATGATGATGATGATGATGATGATGATGATGATGATGATGATGATGATGATGATGATGATGATGATGATGATGATGATGATGATGATGATGATGATGATGATGATGATGATGATGATGATGATGATGATGATGATGATGATGATGATGATGTGGTGGTGGTGGTGGTGGTGGTGGTGGTGGTGGTGGTGATGGTGGTGGTGGTGGTGGTGGTGATGGTGATGGTGATGGTGATGGTGATGGTGATGGTGATGGTGATGGTGATGGTGATGGTGATGGTGATGGTGATGGTGATGCTGATGATGATATTGCTGATGATGAGGCTGATGATGAGGCTGATGTTGTTGATGCTGATGCTGCTGCTGATGTTAATGCTGATGCTGATGATGATGCTGATGATGTTTCTGATGATGAGGATGACGATGAGGATGAGGATGATGACGCTGGTGATGATGATTATGATGATGATGGTGGTGCTGGTGATGGTGATGATTATGATTGAGATGATGGTGGCGATGGTGATGATGATGCGGAGGAGGATGAGGATGAGGATGAAGATGAGGATGAGGATGAGGATGATGATGATGAGGATGATGACGATGATGTTGTTGTTGCTGCTGATGATGATGCTGGTGATGGTGACGGTGATTGTGATGGTGATGGTGATGATGATGATGGTGATGATGATGATGATGATGATGATGATGATGATGATGATGATGATGATGATGGTGGTGGTAGTGGTGATGATGATGACGATGTTGATGATGTTGATGATGATGATGATGACGATGATGATGATGACGATGATGATGATGATGATGATGATGATGATGATGATGATGATGATGATGAGAGGAGGAGGAGTGGTGGGGGGGACGGGGGCAGAGGCGGGGCAAGAGTTATCAAACGATGCCCATGCAGGTGAACAAGCCCGTTGGAGGACATCTGTCGCAACTGAACGGGTGTGCCCGGCACGATGTTGAGTAGGCATCGTGGTTTAATTTGCATGGGGTTGAATCAACAAGACATACGTATAGTGGAGGCAGGCAATACATTGAGGATGGGTTGGCATACTCCGCACAAGTTGCCAACCAGAGCCGAGGCGATGTACCTGTGGACTCGCATCGCCCAGCCTGCAGCGCCAGCCAGCCAGGGTCACCGAGCAGCAGTATACCAAGGAGGGTGAAAGGATGGGGACGGGGGTGTCGGGAAGGGAGGCCTCTCAACCTCGATGAGCATCGTAGCTGGACCATGCGCCGTCCAGCCTGCTTGGACGTCCTGCCCGAAGACCCACGCGAGGATTAGTTAATGCCTCCTCTTCTGGCCTGGGACCTGGTCGACAGATCAAGACGGTGTAAACGGTCGCCGCCGCCGGCACTTTCGCACGGTGACGCATGCGTGCCTCATAATAATTATTGGTTTTCTTTTCCTCCTTCTGCAGCTGTCCCGAGGTGGATGGCTCTAGGGCACAGCCTTGTTATCTGCATGCATGTAATCTCTGCCCACTGAGCGTGGGCACCGATTGGGATGTTGCGCAAGAAAACAGGTTGTGTCGGCAGCTCGGGAGCCCCATGCATTGACTATGCAAGACGTCGGATATCTGAGGAGCGATTCAGGTATGCTGGATGATCCCAGTCAACGTTTTCCTTCGCCGTCTTTGGAATCTCTGAGACCAGGAGGAGGAGGGGGGAGGGTGGGCGGAGGATGGAGAGTGCGGGTCCGCAAGGTTTTCAACCGAATCCAGAGTCAATTTGCCAGTTCGTTGCAGTCCTCCTGTTTCTTCTGCTCCCGCTGTGCGGGGAGCTGTTTACCGTCCTATGATTCTGCGCTGAGACGTGTCGAATCTAATCTAATCGTCACCATCTTTTATCCCCCCTTGGATCATCCATGACCCCCTAGAAGACCCTTGACCTTTCCCTTCATTGCCTCTCCTCTCCTCCTTCCTTCTTCTCCCTTCTCTCTCCTCGGCCGCGAGGTCTTCAACCCAATCCAGACCCAGACCTTCAGCACCCTGTACTCTACGAGCGACAACTGCCTCATCTGCGCGCCAGCCGCCAGCGGGAGCTCGCTCTGCACCGCCTGCCTATTGCGCTGCCCAGGATGAGTCGTGGCCCCTTGCTCCTCTCCTCCCGTGCCCCTCCTTCTCCCTCGATCCTCCTGGCTCCTGCGAAAGCTCCTCGGAGCGGCGAGGGCCTCAATTCACCTGGGCCAATATTGGTACGAGGGCTGCTTCAAGCAGTCTTGCGCATCAGGGAATCGCTTCTGGCGGTAGGCCTGCGATGTCGCAGCCAGCACTAGACAGCATCAGCCGCACCGCGACAGTGACCTTGTATGGCCCCCGCCCAGACAGCGCGTGTCTGCCGAGGTACCCACTCGTACTTCGCGGAGGCCGTGCGACATCGTTTCAAGAGCAAGGCGGACTTCGGAGAGCATCACTCACCGCGAGGCACGGGTTTATACAGTGAGCGGCTTGAATAAGGAATACGTATTTTTCAAAAGGGGCTCGGTCGTTCCTCAGATTTGCATGCGTTATTTACAGTTCCTTATGCGTTATTTATTATTTATCGTTCCTTATGCGTTATTCCTTGGGATAGACAAGGGGCTTCGTTCCTTATTTATCGTTCCTCAGGTCAGGCCGATGACTGTAGCGCATTCGCATTGGCAGGCGTCCGCCTGCCTCCATCACCAAACCGCGCTTTCCATGGCGGACGTGCGTATCGTTCTATGTCATGCGCATGCCCAGACGCGAGGCTCCAGAGGTCGCGCGAGCTTTACGCGAGTTTTCCTCCCACAGGATCCTGAGCGTCGCTTCAGCAGGACGGCTGCAGGCGTGGACACCGAAGGCGTATGTTTCTTGGCGCCGGTGACGATATGATCTTGTTCCTCGTCTTCGGTATCTGGCTCCAGGCTACAGGTGAAGGTCTCGGCAGGAGGTCCTCGGGAGTTGCAGGGGGCCTAGCGTTCTCCTCCCTCCTCCTCCTCCTCCCCCTCCATCTTGGCTGAGCTCGGAGGGAGTGGAGCGGGATGGCAAATCTCTGTCGAGGTGGAGGAGAGGCAGGGGAAGAGGAGAAGGAGTAACAGGAGGACGACGTCGACGGGGACGGATAATAATAAGATCAGGAGGACGACAACGGATGAGGAAGAGGGGATGGGATGGGAGCAGGAGGGGGAATGAGGTAGGGTAAGGGAGGGTGATGAGAAGGAGGTAGGGATAAGTAAGGAGGGGTGGAGAGGAGGAAGCAGGATGAGGGGGAGGTAAGGAACAGATCGAGGACGAGGAATTACCACAGCGACGGCGACGTTGGCAGCGACGGTGTCGAAAGCCGACGTCGGCGAACACGAGGAGGAGGACGACTTCAACGACGTGGGCGCCGGCGCTGGCGACGACGACCATCGCGGCCCTCTCACAGGAAGACCGTTTGCGCGGAGTTCGCCGTGCTGAGGACGCGGGCACGCCCGCCGCCACCGCCGACGGCGGCGGAGCCAAGGAGTGGGAGGTGGAGGTGGAGTGTGGAGAAGGATCGGGACGACGATGAGATTGGAGGAGGAGGAGGTGGATGAGGATAAGGATGCTGAGGGATGATGGAAAGAGGAGTGGGGGGTCATGAGGAGTCATCGCAACCGTTGCGCACTCCGTGGCCCACAGGGAGTCCCAGCTACAGCTGCAGCGGGGATGCCCGCATGCACCCATTCCGCCCAGTGCGGGTCACCACTCAAACAATTCAAGCCCCATAGTGGTCTCAACTTCGGACCCAGCGAGTGGTGTGTTTGAGCGAGAAAAGGCGGAGTCGCTCCGCTCGCGCGAGAAGCGGGAACATAATCACGAATGGTACGGGGAGGAATGAGGCATGAGGAAGAGGTGGGATAGTCGTAAGGCCAGGGGAGATGGGCCGCGGGCCCTAGCGCGGCACCCCTGCTCCACCCCTGTTCTGGGCATCAGCCCCGTCGTACAGGCCCGATAGTCTTCTTCATTATTTTATCGCTTCGCTCATTCCGCCAGCCCTGGAGCGCTATTTGGGGCCGTCTTGGGGGCTTCTTGGAGTCTTCCAGGGGCTCCTTGGCGGCGTATTGGGCGCCCCTGGGGCCTCTTGGGGAGCTCTTGGGGGCCCCTTGGGGTGGGAGGGGGGGTAGTCGATTGCAGCCCCCCCTCCTCGGAGGCCACTATCCTCGTGAGGGGTGGCGAAAAATAGCCTCCCCCCTGGGGATCGCCCGGGACCCAGTCGGGGATCGGCCGGGGTACTTTTCGTCCGGGGCCTCCCAGGGGCCGCCCCGCGCGCGCGAACTAGAAATATTGTTAAGTAGTTACCGGAGATCTTAGCACGCCTCTGGCCCGTTGGGCCGGCGAATTTGATGCGCTTTCTCGGCCACGGATTGCATTAAGGTGAAATCCGATTGATGTGGGCACCCTGTAAGTGGTATCACCCACCAGTGCCGTGCCTCCATAATTCCAGAATATGAATGAGAGGAAATACCCTCGCAATGATTTTGTGAGGGCGCGCCGCTGGATGATGCCCCCAAGGAGGGAGGGGTGTCCGGGACCCCCTCCCCGCTTTCCCCGGTCCGTCGCTGTCGGACATTCCCCCTTCTCCTTTTCCCGATCCGTCGTCGGCGGGCCCGCCCCCCCCCCCCCTTCAAAAGGGGGGGAGGGTCCGAACCGCCCCCCCTCTACTTCCTTTGGATTCGAAATTCGACCCCCCCTCCCTCCTCCCCTTTCAAGTGGAGAGTGGAGGGGGCGTCCGACCCCACCCTCCCTTTCCGGAGCCCTAGCTCGGGACCCCTACCCCTTAACCCTAATGCCCCAAACCCCCTAACCCCCTAACCGTAACCGTAATCCCTCAGTTCTATTCCTAATCCTAACCCTCACATGTAGTTTCATCCGAAACCTAACACGAACCCTGACCCTAACCCAAAGCTCTAGCCCCTAACCTCTAACCTCTAATGTCTAACCCCTAACCTTTATCTCCCTAGAACCGTCACTCATACCCTAAACCTGACCCTACTTCTCTAACCCGAACCCCCTGATTCCATGATCCCTAAGCCTAACACCCTAACCCTAATCCCTTGGACCTGACCCGAACCCCAATCAAACCATCCGAACCCTAACTCCCATACTCCCCAACTCCCGAACCCGAATCCTAAGCGCTTAACCCTAACCCTAACCCTAATCCGACCCCCGTAACCCGAACCCCACACCCCCACACCCTACCCTAACACCCTAACTCTAATCCTACCACCCTCGAACCCCCGTGACATTAACCCCCAACACCCTGACCTTCACTCTATCACCCTAACCCTAACCCCCAATCCCTACCACCCTAATCCCACCACCCTGAACCTACCCTAACATCCTGACCCTAACACCCGAAAGAGCGTGTTCTACCGCTGCTGGCGGAAAACCGGGGGGGTCACTAGGGGTTCCCAACTTGTCCGCCCCCCCTCCTCGAAAACCGGGGGGGGGGTCACTACCGGTTCGAACCCCCCCCCTTCCAGTCCATCATGAAAAGGAGGTGGGGGTCACTACCAGTTCGAACCCCCCCCCTTGAAAACCGAGGGGGGGTCATTACCGGTTCGACCCCCCCCCCCTCGCCGTTGGCAAACGATTCCCGCTCCTCGGGAAGGTTTGACGGTGGTGGGGATACTGGGATAGTGGTGTGACGGTGGTGGTGGGGACAGTGGTGTGGAGACAGTGGGACAGTGGTGCGGACAGTGGTGGGGACGGTGGTGGTGGGGACAGTGGTGAGGGGACAGCGGGACAGTGGTGGGGACAGTGGTGGGGACGTTAGTTGTTGGGACAGTGGTGAAGGCGGTGGTGGGACAGAAGTACAGTGGGGAGAGTGGTGGGGACAGTGGGACAGTGGTGGGGACAATGGGGACAGTGGGACAGCACAGTGGGACAGCGGCGGGGACAGTGGGGACACTGGGAAAGTGGTGGGAACAGTGGGGACAGTGGGACAGTGGTGGGAACCGTGAGGCCAGGGGGAGAGCGGGACCGCGGTGGGACAATGGTGGGGAGAGTGGTGACAGTGAGACACTGGTGGGGGCATTGGTGAGGACAGCGGGGACAATGGTGGGAACAGTGGGGACAGTGGGACGGTGGTGGGGACTGGGACAGTGGTGGGGACGGTGGTGGTGGGCACAGTGGTGTGGGGACAGTGGGAATGTGGTGGGGACAGTTGGACAGTAGTGGGGACAGCGGTGGTGGGGACAGTGGTGAGGGCGGTGGCGAGGACGGTGGTGGGACAATGGGACAGAGGCACAGTGGGGACAGTGGTGGGCACAGTGGGGACAGTGGTGGGAACATTGGGACAGCTCAGTGTGACAGCGGCAGGGACAGTGGGACAGTGGAGACAATGGGGACAGTTAGACAGTGGTGGGGAAAGTGGGAGAGTGGGACCGTGATGGGAACAGTGGTGGGGACAGTGGGACAGTGCGACAGTGGTGGGGGCACAGGTGGGGACAGTGGTGGGAAAAGTGGGGACAGTGGTGGTGTGGACGGTGGTGCTGGGGACAGCGGTGGGGGATGTGGTGTGGACGGTTGGGGACCTGGGAGTCGTTTGCCGGCGGTGAGGGGTGGGGGGGTTCGAACCGGTAGTGACCCCCCCGGTTTTCTGGAGAGAGGGGGGGGTTGAGCCGGTAGTGACCCCCCCCCCCCCGGTTTTCTGGAGGGGGGGGCTCCAACCGGCAGTGACCCCTCCCCCCTGGTTTTCCGGACGGGGGGGGGGAGGGGTTAGGTCCCGGGGGGAAGGGGAGTTGGTTTTTGAGATTTGAGCCACAACGTGACATACGTTTCGTTGCTCAACTGTGTCTGCTTGCTCTTAGCTAAGCTAGCTATGTAAAGTTCAACTAACAGTAGTCTAACGAGGTCTGTACAATAATATCTTTACTCTGCTACCCGTTTTCTTGACTACTTCGAATCAGAAAGCGGAGCGTGGAGCGATCCCGGCCTCACACATCATCATCATTATCATCATTACCATCATCATCATCATCATCATCATCATCATCATCATCATCATCATCACCATCATCTCCTCACAGATGTCGGCGTCCAGTTCCATGTACTTGTCATGCCGTAGATCATCGCTGTCAAGTAGGTCGTCCTCGCTGTAGTCCGGCTTGATCACGCTGGGCTTGATCTGGATGATTTTTTTTATCATGAACTTGTAGTTTCCATAAGCCTGTCGTACATTTAAGTAGTAACGGAGGAAATACTCGAAGCTTCGTCATGCCATCGGCAAACATACTCGTAGTGGGAACATGAGTAACTCTGCGAAATCTTCCAGTCAAGCGATCCTCTCGTAGAGACATCACCGAGATCCTTTGGGTCGTATCTGTCGTCAGTCCTCTGGCTCCCGAGATCAGCTCGAAGAGGTCCATACAGTCGGTCACCGCATCACGCGGAATCAGCATGACGTCGTCTAGATCTGGAGTGTGCTCGTAAGAGTCGTTCGGCTCGTCTTGAACTTTCAAGAAATAAAACAACACATATGATGACTCAGACCATGGACCGTGAGATGATAAGGTGATGGCATTGACCGTTGCAAACTGCTTCACCACATAGTTCGATTTGGCACTCCGATTCCACAAAACCAGGACGCATCGTCGTGCTGCAGGCACTGACGTCGTACGCTTGCACTGAGTGCCCACCTGAATGCCACCAAGGTCCGTTTCAAGAAACGTAGTGTTGGCCACTTGCTTGGCGACCGCATATATATATATATATATATATATATATATGCGACTCGTTCTCGTAGAGGTCTGGAGGTACAATAATGACATGCCCTTCTGCGTCGTTGAAGAACTTGCCGAAGATAAGCGGAGCGTTTGGTACCAGCTGCTCGACCAAACTCATAATCTCAAATACCAGGTGTGATTTGTATTGGTCAGTCTTGTAGCCCGTGTATGTGTCTCCTTGTGTCAGCAACCACGTGAAACCCACATGTGGTCGTACATGTCGTAATGGGACCAGCATCGGGTATCCACGCCAAGAAACAATCGCCTTGTTCTCTGGCATGTAGTTCTTGCTGAGATCTGCTGGTCCTCTCCATCCAGGGTCGTCTTTGGGGCTCTCTCCACAAGTCCACCTTGGAGCCGTCCGCCAACTTAGCTGCATCGGCCGTGGTATGCTGCTGAATTTCCGTGTTGTGAGCCTTGCGATCTTGTCTTCAACGATCGTGGCATTGATGGCATCCTTGGCGGCCATCCTGAGCCTGATGGAAGTCTCCACGGCATCCGGCGCACTCTCGAGGATACCCAGCTGCGCGACAAGACCAGGGTTCTCATGGTCATAGAGCTCTCGTGGTTGAACTCCAGTAAGTGCCGCTGCAGGCGTAGATCCACCGTAAGAAAGAGACAGGTTCGTGGTCGTACAGCACTCCTCAACGCATCGTTCTTTGCTGACGTTCCATCCTTGCTTCTGCGCTGTTGATCGAGAAATGCTCGC